CGGGGGCTTAGCCCTCCTCTGGGCCTAACTCACCTCCCCACAGCTGGAGGCCCGGGAGCAGGCGCGGGAGCAGCACCTGGCGGAGATGGCGAAGAAAATGGAGGGCAGCCCAAGCATCAGCCTCCCTGGCACCCAGAAGGCCAGCTCAGTCACGCCCCTGGTCATCTCCAAGAGCCCTAGTATTGGCCAGGGCTCCATCCTGAGCCACAGGACCAACGGCATTCTGGTGTCCAGTGCAGGCCGTGCCACAAGCTCCAATGTTGGCCATGTCACCTTTGGTGACCCCAGCTCCAGCGTAGGCCTCCTGACCACCAGTGTCAGCCAGGGCTCAACTGGGGGCCGCATGACCTTCCGACCCCTCAGCTCGAGCAGCCACATGGGGTCCACTGGATACTTGGAGTCTGGCGGAGGTCCCGAAAGCTTGCGAGGTGCGCAGAGCAGAGGTTCCGGGTCAGAATCGAGCTCCAGCCCTGCCTCCAGCACCGTCCCAGGCTCCACTAGGAGCAAAGGCTCCCGGAGCAAGGACTAGGGCACCCAGCCTGCACCCTGCTGCTCCATGCAGGGCCCTCTCGAGTGTCTCTGCCTCTGATTTCCCCTGTGACTCTGTCTTTCTCTCCCAGTTCCCAGCCTCTGCGTCTCTCTGCCTCCACAGCTGTCTCCATCTCATCTTCATTGTATCCTGGTGGTGTTTCCACCGGCTCCTCTCCATCTCCAGTCCTCTCCTGGTCTCTCTCTGTTCCCCGCCCTCCTTTCCCTTTCTGTCTCCCGGCCTCCTGTTCTCTCATTTTCCCATTCAGTGTGTCTCTTGTTTTGTCTCACGTCTGTCTCCCCATCTCTGCTCTGCCTTCTCTGGCTCTCCCCCACCTCCTGTTTCTGCTTCCCATTTCGAATTCCTTCTCATCTCCATCTCCCAGGCTCTCCTGGCTTCTCATACCTCTCACTCCCCAAGAGCCCCCAGTACTGACCATGGGGGAAGAATCGGGGCAAAGAGGTCAGTGTCAGCATGAGCTGTGACCATAGGAAATAAAGGGCAGAGCCCAACTTTTACCCCAGCCTGGTGACAAAGAGACATGGCTGTTTCTTGACCTGCAGCCCAAGGGGAAATTTATGGCCCTGTTCATTCATTTTGTTGAGATCTCCACATTTCAGGTTCTCCTGAGAACTGGGCACTGTATCAGCCAGGGGAGGCTGCTTTATGCTGAGTGTCGGACCTCAGTGTCCCCCTACACTGATTTCTGTGTAACTGACTATTAACGCCGGAGAGCAACTCCCTTTGTTCTAAAGTATTTCGGGTTCCCGGCCGCGCTTACAGCGCTTCGCCGCCAGGTGGCGCC